CCGCCATTTTCGGACTGCCTCGAAAATAGCACAGGCTTCTTTCTCGACGGGAGAGTGACGCTGTTCGGAAGGTGTTGGTGTTCGTGAGAAAGGCGTAACTGGTCTCCCGTTCTGTGATAATATAGCGGCGATTGCTATCTCTGAAGCATCAGTTTCCAGCACTAGAGGAGTGTGAGGATCAATGGCCTTCAATAGAAGGACACCAATAACAGGTATTTATACAATCGGTCTCGCTACATTTTAGGCTGCCAGGGAAAGACCCAAGTTAGTCAATGTAGCTTTCGAGATAACACATAATCAAATTAAATAGTCTAGGATGGATGAATGGCTAGAGCCTCGGCAAATTTCATTGACAAAGTTTTGTCACCTAACTTGACCTTAAGCCCTAAACAAACTCAAATCAGGCAAGTAAATTGTCCATCACCCTGTTCAACCGATTCATTTAAATTCCCAGGTTTCTTCATTGACCTGGCCTCTCCGAGCATAAGACTTTCTGCATTCCACCACCGATGTCTCCGAAGCATTGCCCATGTCTGGTGGGAACATCTGGTGAGCAATGTCGTGTATTGGGTGCGGATAGTCTTTCTCTAAAAGAAGTAGTTGCTATATACCGCTTCTGATGGCTTCGTCACGTATTGCGTATGCCTACCCATCGACTACCTTTCCATGCTCTGTTTGCACATGCCGAGCAAGGCTGGAAGAAACGCCGCGACGGTCAGACTATGACATGGCGTACAGTGATGAAGAAGTAAGCTTCAGCTTTCGCTTCGGTTGATGCAGACCGCCTTTCGGGTTGGGGTCCAACGGATGGGAATTGTCGTGGGTTAGAGACGCTGAGAGATATGGCCCAACATAGAATTCAGTAATGCGAATGATGTACGATCTGGCTGTTCAAATCCCGTGCGCATAAGAAAAAATCAAATATCAAAGTGTACGGTGAAACACACAAATTTGTTGTTATTCCTATTATTTACTGTTTTCCATTGTAACTGTTTGCACTCCGTTCTGTGTCCCACTCCACCCATCCCCTGTTTCTGTCTTTATTGTTTTGACGTTGGCACCATGCTTGTCCACAACCCGATGATTACATATATATATGATGTGCGTTCCCATCTTTTCCTATCGACATTTACTAAACCATCTCGTCAATGTCGCATAGTCGACTAGTGACTCGGTCTTAGTTTAATAATTTCCCCCGTCCTGCCCGGTCTTGACACTTATAACTCCAATGCGCGTGAAAACGAATCACATTTAGCGTCTAACATCTTCGACTCGAATTCAAGCCATCTGTCTCTCACCGCCAGTCATTTCTATCTAACTAAACACCTGAGCTATTTTTACGTACACCAGAATAAGTAAATCCGATAGTACGGAGAACCTATTGTTTAGTTAACTAACCGTATATCAGTTTTTACTTGCTTCATAATTTCGCTAATTGTTGTTGTATTTGATCGAGTTTGGTTTTCGAAACCAGAGATTGAGCAGTTCATTTCTTTCTCTTTCTATGTTTGATAGATCAAAGTTGCGTGGACAAATTTGCTGACTGGTGACGTCTATTCCTCGCAATCACAATGCACTATTCCCACTTGTGTACGCGGTGATCAAATTCACCTTATCGAACGAGATCACGTGCTCAACGATACGGTTCGCCACGCAAAGCGGGATATTGTTGGCAAAATTGTAAATATGCGAACGAAGGCTTGCGGTGAAGTGCTTAGTTATGGTCGTGTTTTGTTGGATTTGGATTGTCGTCGTCTGCGCAGTGTCTATGTGAGTTGTGAGTTTATTTCTGTGGCTAAACTGATTTCAAAGTTGAAGTATCCGCCGTTCGAATGTTGTCTTTTCTCTTGTTGCGGGATTCTCTATAGGGCAAACGGAATAAACCATAGGCTTGATAACTTGTCGGAAGACTTGTTTTTTTGATCTAATAGCTGCTTCTGCTAGAAAAATCGATCAGCGCAATGATTGACTGTTACTGCTTATAGGGATCAATCAGCTCTACACTGCGCTCTGTTAGCACCATGAATCAGATGATCACATAAACCCCATGGGGCCTATCCTTGCGGACATATTCGTCACGAAGTTGGAAAGCGAGTTGTCACATACTTTAGATTAGTTTGCATTATTTAGAAGATACGTTGGTGATATACTCTTCATAAGGCAATTCCGACAACAATTAACTTCTTCCCTTCGAGTCATGAGCAGTTTGCACAAGAATACACATTTCTCATTGGAAGAAGAACAAGACGATTGCCTCGCATTTTTAGACATTCAAATGACAGGCAAGACGGAATGATTCGCTGGACTGTACATAGAAGGGTCATTATCAATATCAATATCAAAATATAGTTTCCTACCAATCAACTACAAGCGCGGGCTAGTAATAACACTATATTATCGAGCACACCGTATTTGCACCGAGGAAAATTTACAATCGGAGTTAGACTTACTCCAATCAATTCTTGTCGCGATCGACTACCCTGGCAGTTTTATTATGAAGTTCAGTCGAACACCGGAGCGAAAACCAGCAGCATGTGACGTCCCTTAGAAGAAATTCTACATTTATCTCCCCTTCAGAGATGATATCAGTCTGTTTTTTCAAGACCGATTGAAAAATGTGATAAAACGTACTTGTAATGCTGTCAACCCAATCGTCCTGTACACAACCACTCATCCCTGCTCCACCCACAAAGTAACCTCTGCCTCTGTCTCCCAACTCAGCAGTTATTTACTACTTTGAATGTGGACGCGGGGCATCTTACATTGGCAGTTGCACACACGGATTCAAGAGCACGCCCCTTGTTGGGTTAGACGTCAGTTGACCTTTATCCAAGGATACCGAACACAAACAGTCTGCGTCATCTGTTACTCGAAATCTGTTGAAGAATCATGGTCCGGACCCGACAGGCTGATTTAGGATCATTTAGGCTGCTTATGTTCGCGTAGTAGATTGCAGAAAATGGAAACATTGTCTGTGTATAAACAAAGAAATGTCAGTGACACTATCACTACCTTTTTATTTTATTTTATTTTTACACGTCCGAGTTCAGACTGTGTACCAAACAAATCACTATACAATAATCTTTATAAAAAGAAAGATGGTTTATGATTGTCACCGCTTTGGCAGTGGTAAAAGTGTGATGATTCAGCCTTGTCCTATTAATGTGTGACCTGATGTACTATACCGTGGTGGTGTTTTCCCACCAAAGTGAGAGAACAAAAAGCCAATACCTGGAGCTATAACCGGGTCGGTGAACCACTGGCAGTTCATCTGGGGGAGTTAGCTATAAACCCTGATTCCAACCCAACCAAGAGGAGGCGTAAGAACCACAATAATGCAGAGCTTCCTAGTCGTGGTGGTGGTCACCGGCTCGATTGGACATCGAGGTGTATTGGACACCTTGAACGTTTGACCCTGTCCAAGGGCGTATGATCCGATGTCCTAGACACCGGCCCCCAATGGATTGCAGCTTTCTGACCGTCCCGCTGCCTTACGAATCAGACTCCGGTTGTGAACTCCCTAAGTAAATTCAAATATTTAGCCCGGGTGATCTAGCAGTATCGTGCCCTTGGAAAATCATGTTCAGACGTTCCATTGTGATACTGAAAGGTACATTCCTGTAGTAATCAGCGGGGGAAGGGGCTAAGCATGATCCCAGCTCGTCTTTTCATTGATAAACATTTGTCACAGTTAGCTAGAAAGCAATTTTTCAATACATCTAGATGATCACATTAAGTGTCTTGGAGAATGTCGTTCCTCCAAGCCGCAATTAAAGGTCTAAATGTTCAACAGTAGCCATCAAACGGGTAATGTTTTGATCAGTCGAACAGAACATGTACTTACGTATACACGGTGGCAATCACTTTAGGGATTAAAATAAAATAGCCAGCTGCTGGATTCCCGTACAACTTCATTCCATACCCCAGTTTGCCTCGGTCATTCGGCAGAAGCTGATTTTACTTACGGACAAAAGTAAACAGAACCGTGCGAATAATGGTGAATTGATTTTGTTCGTAAATGCGTGTTCGCATTTTGTCACAGAGACAGAAAATTCATAATTAGCGCATCATCGTCAGCATTTCATTACTGCATCGACAAGAGTCAAATGCTGTCGTTAATCTAGGCCAGTAGGTTTATCGCACATTGGCGGTTTGCCTTTGCCATTATCACACCCACGCGCGCGCACGCGCACACAATGGTTCGTGATCCACTGTACGTGTGCGTGTGTGTTGATGAACAGACATACTTGGGTTCGGATTTCTCTGTCGGCAAAAATTGATGTGACCTGGTTGACTTCCTTCCACTCACTCATGCTAATGCACTCGTCTCACCAGGTCATCAGTCTGACTGGGTGTTTATTTGCGTTCGGTTGCCCTTGTGCGTCCTAGTGGACAAAAAGTACAACCGGCTAACTGAGCACGTGATTTGTTCAGGACGATCTCGTGCATATGTGTACGGCAATTTAGACCCAACTTTTCCTCGCTATGACGGTTGTCTATGCAGTTGGTTCTGCTAACGCTTTGAAAAGTCATTATAAAATGAAGAGCAAAGTCGTCACTGCTTTGACTGGCAATCGCTATCTATGGTCCGGGTATCTGTTTCTGTAATGCTCGTTTTCGGAGACAACAATTTTCTGATTGGATTGTAAGTTGCTTGGATGCTGAAAGATTAGTGATATTGGTGTGGCATTGTTGCTCAGCTTGTGCTGTACACATTCGTGTACGGTGCGCTTTTTCGTGGATTCGAATCCCACCGAGATTGCTGATCTCGCAATTTCACCAACCCATAACTCTCCATATGACTGAGGAAGTAGCATAGAAAATGGACAATTTTTACAATTTAAGAGGCTATATCTCACCTGGCAGACGCATCACAGATGAAGTGTCGGCTCGCATACGAAATGCTAGATTGCATTTACCAACTTGGGCCATCTGTGGTGCCGTCGCGACATTCTTTTGTTTGTGACTGGTCGATCATATGCTCCGGCAGTTCAGCCAGTTCTGCTGTACTGCGCAGAAACGTGGCCACTAAGAAAATAGGATAAACATAGAATGTCGGTACTTTAACACCGCTGTCTACACAGCGTTGCAGAAATCTGATGGGGAAACCGGACTAAGAATGCTGAGTTTTGGGTAACCGCCGTCATCCACTGGAGCAAGCGGTCAACCTTCATAGTTTACGTTGATTGGGACGTATGTTACGCTAGTCGCCAATTAGGTTTCCACGGTGCTCAAAGTTGGCCCAGGCAGGCAGTGGACGAACAAATGTCACGGGCGGTCAAACTCAGACCTGGCACGAGGGTATGAAGATCCCAACCAGGAGACTCCGTCGTATAAGTCGCGTTAAGCTCCCAAGATGTGGCCCTCGGCATCGTCGCAACCGGTGATTAACGACTCTGAGTGTCGCAGGCAGTAGCCCTCATGCGTGTACTCATTTTCCTCGCAACCTCAGTCTTCATGATTTCCTCGAATATACCAGCGGCACATATTGAATAAAAACGCAGTTTCTCCAATAAACTAATTTTCAGTGACTCATCGACTGGCTAATACGTCACATTTTATATAACATCGTTTTGTATAAAAAAGGGAAACAAAATAAATAAATATTCAAATGGTGGTTTTTATTGTTATTGTTTTCGTTGTTTTCTGTCTCAGCTTCATAAGCTGGATATAGTTTATTTTACGCTTGCCCCAAATCACATAAGTAACACGAACCAAGCGTAAGATCTTATGGTAAGATCAGCTATATCCGGTCTGTGAAAATGAGACAACAAACAAAAACAGCAAAAATCTCCATTTGAATGTTCATTGATTTTGATGTTATGTAAAATATGATGTATTAGTCAGTTGATGTGTCACCGAAAATTACCTTGTTCGCTAAACTGCGTTTTCATGAATTATCTTTTTTCACCTTGACACTACTTTCAACATCCCAGTCTTCTCTTTACTTCTTCCATATGGGCAGCCAAGAGACAGCAATCGAAACTACTGCATGTGAGTGCATGGTTAATGTTTGTGAAGACTGAAGAGAAAATTTGCTGCTTCCGCCTGCCGACTTGAACCTTATGGAAATTACGCACTTAGATGTTGGAATGACTCCAACCATGAGGTATGATGACTTGCAGAGTCCGGTTCAATGGTTGTAGTTTTGATATCATGATACCACTTCATCCAGAGTCATCCTTGGTGCGTCAACTACCCTTTGCCATGGTAAACAGCCGTTCGAAGAAATTCACTCCAAAAACTGCTCTCCAGTGCCCACAATGGTGATCCAGCATCTGCATTATTGAATGACACTAGCTACCGTATACTGTTTATCCGAACCTTTGATTCGTGGACCAACAATTCTGTTAGGTTCATGCGGTGGTGTACAGATGACGATGTTAAAACGCGGATAATATTCCTTAATCGTTTACACGTAACGACTTAGTCACTACCCCTCACGGTTAGTGGGATATCGTATCAACGCGATAAATGTTTCTTATTGGTCCGAGTAAGTTTTAATATGGGAAAAACTTACAAGCGGTTGCTTTTTTGTCCCATAGAGTTTTTTGCACAAATGGATCTATTTTCGGTTAATATGAAAGATGAGGAATGTCACGAATTGTCTTATTTTCGTGCACTGTTACGGATGTGGAAATGTAAGGTGTGAGAATGTTTCATCTAGTTTGTGCTTGTAAGAATCAGTCGTGCACGCAGAAACGACCTGAGGTTGTATAGAATTCCAAATACTGCACACTCTGAGGACAAAGAAATCGCGTCGACATTCT